ATATATATATATATATATATATATATATAATCATTTGGATATTCATGTGAAATTTTTATCTTACCTTTTTTTTTATATAATGTAAAGGTTAATTTTATGATGTTAATATTTAGTGTAATAATACCCGATAAAATATGATAAGTAAATTGTTAATTAGAATCGAAGATTTTGAATTCTCTATCTTGGATTAAAATAAATTCAAGAATTTATGTAGACTCGATGTAGATGACCACAATTACAAATGTGCAAAACTCACTTAAAAGCTTACAAACTTTGTATTTTGGGTTCAACACTTCAAATAGTGCAAGAAACATGTAAATTGTGGGAGAAAAAAAAAATTAGCACAAAACACCTTTTTTTCTTATGTCGTTTTGGATGTTTTTTTACGCATTGAGTCATATTTAAACTCGTGATTATGTCTAGGTCTATTTCAACTTGCTCAAATTTGCATGATTTCACTTGAAAACGAGTTTGCAACCAAGTTAAAAAGGTTGGTATCCGTAAACTCATAAACTTGATAGTTTTTATAAGTTAAAAGTTCATTTTGACAATCATACCTTGGACAATAAGAGGCAAAGTCTTGAAACTTATAATATAAGGAAGTCCTCCATCAAGATGATATGATTATCATGATGGGTTAGAGCATGTTAAATCAGTTATTTGATATTTCCAAAATTCATGCTCAATTGAAGTTAAAGTCAGTTAACTAACCTAAAAAAGTTGGTGATATGAAGTCAATTTAGACACAAGTCTACCATAGATGTCATTCCCTATTTGAAGTTGGATATGTTCTCAACATAACAAAATCATGACTTATAGTGATAATGTCATAAAAGATGAGTTTGTAGGATGGTGAAAGGGCAAAGATCAATCCATAACACTAACTAAAATAAATGTGTAGGAGTTGAATATATTTATTAATGTATAAATGATTAAAATATTATTTTTAGTTCTTATAATTTAACTTAATTTATCTTTAAATTCATACTATTTAAAATAAATTTTTTAGTCTCAACACTTATATTTTTTACTATTTTTTAATTCCCTTAGTTTAATATTGTTTTTTTTAGTTTCTATAGTTGCAGATTTTTAATTATTTTAGTCTTATTGTTAATTTTTATTAAAATTTAGTCTCTTTTATATTGAGGTGACCAATGTATTAATTTAACTTGTCAAATGTCAAATTTATTTTATTATAATTACTCTAAATTAGTTATTTTGATATTTCACTCTTATTTGTACCTTCATTTACAATGCTCAATTGCTCATTTTGCGACACCTTTTTTCATTCACAAAATTGAAAACTTTTAACATATCAACACAAACAAGCAACATAAAAAAAAAAGTTATGTTAGTGAAGCATGATCAATATTGTGAAGAATTATTTTTCAATATTTTAAAAGATTTAAATATATTTTTAGTTCATGCAAAATAAACATGTTTTGAGTTTGATTTTGATAAAAAAAAATTAATTATTTTTTATCCTTATAAAAATTAGAACTTCTTTTTTTATTATATAGTTTTTACTATTATATGATTATTTTTATTACTTAGGTATTCATTAGAAGGTTATCTAATTATTATGAAAGATATCTACAATTATATATGATACTTTATTTATGTGACGCTTCAAAAATTGTATAGACTAAAATCAAAATTTATCTATTTTATAATGACTAAAAATATATTTTAGTTAATTTTAAATTTGAAAAGGTAATTTGATGATATTAATCATTTTTGGAAATGATGCTTTTGTTTTATATGCTTATATTTATTTTTTTGTTTAATATAGTGCGTGAATATACGTAACAAAATCAAACAAAAACAAATTTGTTATATGAAGTTGTTAAAAATTTTCCATTTAAATACCAGTAATGGTGTTGTTGGGCCCATTATCATTTTAAACTAAATACAGCATAACATCATCAAATATTCCTTTTAAGCAGTAGACATATAATTATTGAATAAAACATAATTTCCATGATGCCATTTTACACCTTTCCTTTTTATATATATATCTTTACAAAGTGGAGATGATTTTAATGGAAATTTCTAAATATGTCAGAGTCCTTTAATTTTTATTATTTATAAATATGTATTTATATACTCAGTGATTAACTTTTTAATCTTATTTTATTCTTTTGTTTAAAATGGATATGGAAACAAAGTAGGAAATGATCATATCAATTAATGAGATAAAATTTCCCAACTGATTCAATATTTTGTCAAAACCATGCGTTATAAGCAATATTTCCTTATGTCTATTTATGTAATTTAAATAATTTTTTTAGTAAAGCATATTGTAATGCAAAATAAAAAAAATGATTATAATTACAAAATCATCGCAATAATAAGTTAATAACTATGGATGATTGATTATACTTAATAATGTAATATGAATTAGATCAGCAATGATATATAAATTCGTATATATTTCTTGGAAATTTTAAGATATTTTTAAGAAGGAATAAATTAGAATTCATTAGATAACAAGCAACAAGAAAGATTGTATTTCATTTGAATCGATCAATGATTGAAATGAAAAATAGTATCTTTAATCATTTTGTAATCTACGTGTCTGTTTCGGTAAACATTTTCAAAAAATACTTCAAAAAGATAATAGAAAGACAAATAAAAATAATTTTTCATAAACTAAAATTATTTTATATGTAAATTAATTTGTAGAAATTATCTTCTTAAAAATTTGTTTTTAATTTATGGAAAAATAGTTCTTTAATTTTTTTTCCTCCTAAAAATATTTATGAAAAAATTTATCCATACAAATTATAAATTATGCAGTGAAACAAAAATTTACTCAATGTTTATTTCATATTGAATAAAACTAGCTTAATCAACTAAAAACTTATACGTTATAATTTAGGAACTGAAAAAATAGAAGTTATAAGTCAATTGATTAATTTGAAAGTATTTGATAATTGATTAATAAATGCAAAATAATATAAAATAATTTTTATAATGAAAGTGAGAGAATATATAACAAGATAAAGAAAAGAGTTTTCAAATTAAAAGAATGAAAAAATTCAAGTAAATTAACAAAAATAAAGAAATAAAAAAATATTAAGAGTTTATAAACTCTAAGTTGTTTCAATTAACTTATAAAAAATAAATTATAAGCGTTTGATTAAAATAAGTTATCATGTTAAATAAATTTATTTTTGATGAAATTAACTTATAAGTTAGTCAAATGAAGTTCTATGCATACGTGTTCCGATAAATTACTGAAATTAATGCTAAATGGAATTTGAGATCATCTAAGATATTATAACTGTAATTTTATTCTTAGATTGATAGTTAAGGATTAAATATAATTAATTGAATTTTTTTCTTAGCATCAAAGGGATTGAACTTGTTCTATTCTTGTTAATGCAAACTTTACTAATTAACTTTATGATACGTCGTGTGTTGAATTGACCATTATTGCATAGAGGATAAGTTGGAAAAATTGATCTTTTTTCATATATTGATATCTTCCAAATTAAATCATCAAAGAATCAAAAGATAGCTACCTTATTATTTCTTAGTTAATTATATTCAATATTATTTTTTAGTTACTCCATTATTGTGGTTAAATGAAATAAAAACAAATTGTGAGAATTAATAATCAATACACAATCCTTCATGAGACAATAATATTATTCTTTTCTACTCTCCAATAATCACAACATACAATAAGCAACTAAATTGAAACGCCAAAAGTATAAAAGTTTGGCAAAATTTTAAAATTAAACATTATATTTTTTCTACTATATATATAAATAGTTATATATATATATATATTATTAATTGTTGTAATGTATTGCATCTGTATGAGCTCATGTTGTCCCCTAGAGGTCCTGTAGGGACAGGCATGGGCAGTTGTTGGAAATGAAATTAGTGACTCCATGTGCATACATTTAAATAATAAAATAAAATATAAAAGTTTAAAGCAACTTAAATAAATAAGTATGTGGATTTTTGCATAAGTCCCACTAAATCGTTTCCATAAATGGAAAGATTCCCTAGTAAAAGTCAAAAGAAAAAGTCAGAAAATTGTGCATGATTAGGGTCTAGATTAGATCATTTCTTCTAACCAAATAAGTAATAACTATCAAATTAACACTTTAAAGAATTCTTTCAAAGAAGGAAATGTACACTAACGATTATTTATTTAAATTTAATTAATCACATGCTACTATTGAATATATGTTTTTATTTGAATAGAAATATTTTGTAAACTTAATAAATTACTTTTAAATGGAACATAAATAAAATATAATTTTTTATTTATAAGAAAAGTCCAATTAGAGTACACTCACAAGCAAGTATGCAAATCCAGCCAAGAATTCGTCTACACCTAACTCCTGTGAACAACACACCAACTCAATGCTTATCTTTTCTTCAAGTATTCTTTTATCAAATAATTGTAAATAATGACCAAAATTTTATTTAATAAAATGTCTCTTGTTAAATTAGTGACGAGAGAAAAAACGTGACCCTATATATTTTAAATGAAAGTGAGGTTAATAATACAAATTTTAAATTTAGCAGAGGCATTTGTGTCCACAACGTGGATCTGTTGCTAATGGTACGATAGTTGAAGCATGCAAACAGAAGTGTTTAATAAAATAGTTCATTTGGTTGTAAAAAAATGTTTTATTAACTTTAATATTTTTTAGATGCTATTTAAAGTAACTATTTACTTTATAATTCATAATTTATCATTATTAGTATTATTATAACATTTTAATAGTTTTCAATATTATACTATTTTTATTCAATCATTAAACTATTTTTTTAAACTATCAAATTGTAGAAATCATCAATTAAATTTGTTTGTGATGCAACATAGAAAAACAAAAAAAATATATTATATTTTAATTTAATTTTACTAGCTGGATCCATGATTTCGCATGATGAGATTTTAGACATGTTATAAAACAAGGGAAAAGTCCCATATGGGAGAGGCAAACACTACAGTCAAACTGACAAGTTCAATCATATTTATTGGAAACAAGAAAATAAGATCAAAGTGTGGGTCTACAGCAAGAAACTTTAAAGGATCAAGAAAGAGATTGAAATTAAATTGAAGGGGTTGGGAAGACTCAACAAATGACAAATTGCCAATGTTAATTAGTCTTGTTAGGGCTTAATTATGATGGTTGAACTCATGATAATTCACTTTGTTCTTTCAATTGTCACACATAGTGTTTGGGTTAAATCAAATTTTACAAATAAATTAAAATGGGTAGTTGTTATATATACCAATAACAAAAGAGATTATTCCATTTGACATCCACAATTTTTATATCTATTTTAATTTTAATAATTATTAAAAAAATGTCTCTAAAAATTTCTATAAAAATTAAAACAATAAAAATTTATACTAATAATAAAAGGAATTACTCTATTTAGTATCCACAATTCCTATTTCTATTTTACTTTTAATAATTGTTTAAAAAAAATGCCAAAAACACCTATAAACATTACAATAGTAAAAATTGCCATAAAAAATTGTTATTTTCTTTGTTTTACGCGAAGACGTACACAAATTAAATTACCTTTATCTCTATTTGTTAAAATAAAGCTATTAAATAGCTTACCTAAATAAATTATACATATTCTTTTTTATAACAAAAACAAGTTTATAAGTAACTTCTTTCTTTCTTTTTGGTAAAGTTATAAGTAACTTCTTAAAACAACGGAGTTGGTGTTTTTTTTATTTTTTTTTTATTATTTTTTTAAATATTTAGATGTCTTAGGTCCAATGAAGGGATTGGGCCCATATATGCATAAATCCTCTCACAGAATCGTCATGGGCTATTTAAGCATTACATAAAAACACCTATTTAAGCATAAATTTGAAATCAATATTTTAGAGGACTAACACTTACTACTAAACACAATCCTATTGGTGAATGAAAGATAATTTAATAAAATAAAGTTATTCTTATAATTGTTTTTTGGAGAATATACTTTCTTTTAATTAAGGTTATTTTAATAATTATTGTTACAAATAATTATTTTTTTAAAAAAATAACTCAAGATCCAAATCAGTGATATGTGAATTTCGACATTATCTGCTTCTAGGCCAACTGGCAGTCCAATATTAGAGCATCTCAAATTCAAACAATGTCCAATAATTATCACTTTACATGACTAATAAATGAAAGATGACAGTCCTTTATCATCTTTGTGATATCACCATAATTTTTCCATTACTGAGACATAGCCAGCTAAAGTTATAGAAAAGGGGAAAAAAGAAAAACCACATAGCTACTTCACAGGGCAAAGAGTATACCAATTTAAAATTAATAATTAATGGTGTGTTTGAAAAAGTTAAGTCAATTCAACTGAAAGTTAAAAAATAAAATAAAAATTACATTCATAAACTTTTTTTTTTTTTTTATATTTATTGTAACGTGTGTTTTTCTGTTGAATATACTTTTAAATCGGTATGTAAACATATACTAAATCATCTTTTTGCACATAACAAAGAAGCATCTATATGAAGATTTTCCCATGGAACTATGCTTTTGATCATGTATATGAAAAATCAATTTTCGCACGCTTCAATCAAATTGCTTGTATAATCAGTGGTGGAACTTTTGTAGTACCAATAAACAAGTCACAGAACTTCTGATCCAAGAACGCAAGGCAAGACATTTTGAACATCCTGCAAATTTTGATTCACACTGTATATATAATTACATGAAGCCAAAACTACTTTTCAAGAAGGTGAGAGATGAGAAGTACAAATAATGCAAAAAATGAAAAAATTACGGGGAATAAACATAGAAAGTGAAGATATGTTAATTAATTGGTCTTATTCTCCTATTGCAAATTATACTTTTTATTTGCTCCAAGAAAATCTTGTTATTAGCCTTGATGATGGTGGTTCACTCCCTTTGGAAAGTATATTTTCTTTACATGTTTCCTCCACTTCTTCCTTAAGCAAAGATTGTATATTATATTAGTCCTCTCTCAGCACCTCGGAAGATCACTTGGTGGTGGTAGTAGAGACTCATTTGGTCCTTTACCATTGTCCACCACAAATGCCATCTTCAATCCCCATGTTGTATGAATTTCCAAATGGCAATGCATAAACCAAACACCTAACCAAATCAACAAGAAAACATTTAATAAAAAAATGTGACATGCATGCAAATGACTTTTAATTTTTCTGTAAATATTAATGTTTAATGATTATGTACTATCAATGTAAAATAATTTTATATTATCAATTAATAAAAAATTATTATTGATATGATTTTTAATATAATTATTATAAATTAATAAACTTATTTGTAATTGAATGATAATATAAAATAGTGTATAGTATTTTTTTTCTAAATATTATAGCATCATAGTTTCATACACAATTAAATTGACAACTTCACCTGGATTATCAGCCCTGAATCTGATTGCAGTCCACCCTCCAGATGGAACACCAACAGTATTTCTCTCCACAGGATCCACAAGGTTAAACTTTTTGGTGTCCCTTTTGGGGTTAAAATTTCCTTGTCCCCTACCTACCACAAAGAAGTTGAATCCATGGAGGTGAATGGGATGGTTCTCTGGTGTTATCATTCCAGTGTCTTGCAAGACTAATTGAACTGTGGAGTTGTATGCGAGTCTATAGACCCTTGTCCCTCTAGTAGTCCTCAAATTTGTTGGTTGTTGAGTCCCTGTGAAGTCATACACCACTGGAGGCTTTCCAGGAAAATCATCAGCGAAAACACCACTTATGTTGAAGAAATGTGCTTGGAGGAGAGAAACCTTAGGCATCACAAAGGTCACATTGTTGATAGCTGCAACCACCCTACTACCATTGACACAAGTGGCACAAGGGTTGACTCCAAGGCTAACAGTGAAGAACAAGGAATGGTCAACCTTTTGGGGGACTCTAGCAGGGTACTTTTTGGAGTTTAGGCTTCTGAGGGAGTCAGTGAAGCTGGTGGCAACTGGTGTGGCATTTTTGGGAGGTAGAGAAGTGAGGGTGGTGATGGTGGAACCAAGTGAACCTGAATAATGTAATGTGGCAGTGGCAGTCACATTGTCCACTGCAATAGGAGAGTCCATGAAAGGAGCGGCTGCTACCAAGTATTTTCCAGTGCCACGATTGGCTTTTAGAAGCACATTTGTAGTTTGGCCAGGTGCTATAACTATGGTGTTAGTTTTGAGAGGCTTTGTGTAGACAGCATCAACCTCAACCACAGTGAGTTGGTGGCCAGCAATTTTAAAGAACAACTCTTCATTAAGTGCAGCATTGATGATTCTCAGCAAGTATGTGTTTCCTGGTTGAACTTGGAGTTTGTATCCCCCTGCATAGTGGAAATTACTATCAGCCTCTATAGTGAAAATGTTCTCAACTTGTCTTCATTAGTGAAAATATTCTCACCTTTATATGTTTATACAAAAACAAAATATTAATAACTTGTCATTTTAGTATTTCCTTCGTTTTTTATTCATAGTCGTTTTTTTAGAATTTGTCGGTTTTTTTCATTGTTATTTTACTAAAATCAATGACTTATTAATTTTTTTTTTCTCATTTTTACCCTTGATAATTAATGTATGTTTATTAAACAACGTGTCTATTTATTTCTAATGTCTACCTATTTTTTCTCCAATTACCTATGTAAAGTTAATGTTGTATTTAAAAAGACAATATATTTCCAACGAAATACTATAAAAAAATAGAGGGTAGAATAGGAAAGTAAGTAATAAATATTTTTGAAAAGTAAAATATCAATCATTTCTTTAAGTCTCGTGCAAAACCTTAAACGACTATGAATAAAAAACGGAGGGAGTATTTGTTAATGACAAACCAAACATATTCTATCTGAATTTCTTTTCCATCTTGTGCTTGGACTAATTATATTAAGAGTTAATCATCTATACATTGCCAGTGTAAAGTTTTTTACACTGACAACCAATCATATTTTTTAAATTATTTTATTTTATTTTATTTTTAGTTCATTAAATAAGCAAATGATATGACACTATTAAAGAATATGATTGGTTGCCAATGTAAAAATATTTTATACTGACAATGTATAAGTGATTAACCCTTATATTAAATGCCAAAGGCTTGGTTCATGGATTTTACCTTGTGATGCACAATGTTGAACAGGTCCTGGATGACCATTAATTGTGTGGGCATCAGAAACATTTGGAGCCAAGCCAGATTTCAAAGCTTCATTTATTATTGCTTCAGTATCCGATTTCCACCATTCACCTAAGCCAAATTGAAATGTTGAAATAGTGAAGTTAATGCATTGCACTAATTATGTAATCTAGTTTCATGAGGAAACAATTTACTATTTTCTTTTCTCTAATTCATGACTAGACATTTAAAAGTTGGAATAAATGCATTCACAATATATTGAGTTTTTAAGTTATTATCCAATTACAATTTACCACAGGTAAGTTTTTTAACTTTTATACTAACCAACTTAAATATCATAATCATGATGATTTTTTTTACTTAGTAGACAATATGATAGTGTATAAAAGCTAAACTGTATAGAGATAAATAAAGGAAAAAAGGTAGGGGAACTGACTTAATATGATAACTTTTTCCACTTGGGGTTTGGGAAAAGGGTAAGGAACTCCAAGCTTAGGTAAAATGACCAAGGCACCATGCAAAGTTGACCTAAGCCAGAGGATATGTGCATGCCACCAAAGTGTCCCTCTCTGTCCTGTGAGGGTGAAGTTGTACACAAAGACCTGGCCCGGTTGAATTGGACATTGGGTTATGTAAGCAGGCCCATCGGCCCAACCCGTCCGCAATTGTCTCACCCCATGCCTATTCAATTTTAATTCATCATCAAATTAAACAATAAATTAGTAAAACACAAAGAATAAAAAAAATTAATCAAGGTCAGAGTATATAATAATTCTAGCACACCCACCAGTGGATGCTAACATTGTATTTGACATGGTTAACCACCTTTACCAAAACAGTGTCATCTTCCCTGGCATAAATGGTGGGGCCAGGGAACTTCCCATTTACGGTTACTATGGGCTTGGTTGAACACATTCTTGTGACATTCTTCACCACCACCTGTGCAGAACATTAACCAATTAATAGCCACCATGCATCACATATACATTCTTGACCAACAAGAAGAATAATAAAGTGTAACTGCATGTCTGGGACACATCTACCAAACTTGAGTGCCTTGCATTTCTCAACAACATACCTCTAGCACTTTGCTGTTTAATAAAGATATGCAGAGTCGTATGTTTTTAATAGGCACTAGCCTTGCCTGATTGACCAATTTTGAAGATTGTTTTACAATTCGAAGTTACTTAGTTCTTCTCAGTGGACAAGTCTATTCAATTGAATGCATTCTAACTAATTAAATAAATATAAAGTTTAATTGTAAGACATAAGTTCGATACATGAATATTTACTACATGTAATCTTATGACTAATAGCTAGAACATAAGCATGCATGCTTTTGGAACAGTTACATCATTTATTCACATGCTAGCTGTTTCTTGTTATTATTTTACTTATCTCTCCAATATCATGAAATGAACAACAAACTTGATTATTCTATAATGCTAGCATGGCATGATAACTAAACTGAGAATGTAATGTAATGTAATGCAATGCACCTACGTTGAACTTGTAGTGGCGAACCATGGCTTCCACCGAAAGAGGAAGCATGCAAGCTGCTAGAAGAAGTATGATTCTAATCCACATCATGGCCATGAACACCTCCTTGAGTTGTCTCTGCTTCCACACAAAGCACAGTTGTGTTACTTTGTGGAATGCACAATGCAAAGCGAGTATGAGAGGAGAAGCTTATAAAGAGGTATTCTCTGTTGTCATGTCCTTTTAATCAGTTGGTTGAAGAAATACTTAGGACATTCTAAGTGCAATAAAATAATGTAAATTGTATACACCAGAAGACAAAAAGAAGCTGGCCAGAAAGTTGTATTATTTTTCTTGTGTATCACATAAAGTAACTAAGATACCTTTTGAAGCTAAGATAGTTGAGTTTCTGGGTAATGTTTTTTATTTTTATTTTTTATTTTGTGATGGACTAGGTGGTCACATCAGATACTGGGTTTGGTCTAACCATATTGGTGAAGTACAACGATTCTTAGCTAACATGCCAATTGGTGGAATGGATACACGCTGATTAAGTCAAGGAGATGATATATACGCCACAACAAATTAAGAAACTCTTGAATATAAAACAACTTTACCTTTATGTTAGTCATTGGAGATTTTGCTTTGGTTGTTAGAAACTTAATTTATCACAAAGAGGTTCCACCTTCACCTTGAACCATTGATGTACGGAATGGAAATTCAGTTAAATTTTGCTTCTCTTTTAAATGGGTAAAAACCAAAAAATTGTATAATTATGAATGTGCTGTTTGGAAATATGTAGAAAAAGCAAAAAAATCACGATTTAGATGTATGGTTATTAGCTTCTTAAAATCACGTCCATCAAGATGTGACACAACTATGCTGGTAATTAATTTGCTTTATTCCAAGTGGGTAAACGAGAGGTTCTAGGTTAAGTTGTGTCACATGAACTATAAATGATTAAACTTTTTTTATATCAATTTAATAGTGAAAATCTTATGTTCGAATCTTACTATTGTAATTGTAATTTTTATAATTTTTTTTACTAATATGTAACTAGTCCAATTAAAATTAAGTTAAATTTTTTAAAATAAAGTCTTAAGTTTGAATTCTATATATAAAAAATATACATAGTCGTGATCAATCAATTATTTTTTGACAAATATAAAATTAGTAAATACTTTGTATAGTAAAAAAATGATAAAAACCTTTGAAAAAATGGAACTTGCAAGAGATTTTCCGATTCTAGATAAATCGGTCAAACAGACCTTGGACATCACTCTAAGTAACGAGTTATCCTGAACATTTGAAACTGTCACATAATGGCACATAAATAATTGTTTGAATAACCAATCCAAGTCTATCTGTTTGAATTTTTTTTGCCAATGTAAATCAATCCAAGTTAGGCACACTTGCCAAACCACTTTTATTTGAAACAAATTTTGAACAGACATCCAATAACTTTTGATAACAAAATGGCATTTTTTAAAAGGCAAAATTGAAATAATAACTCTTAAGTTGAAAACAAAGAATTAAAAGCATGTCTTAAATAAAGTTAATTATGTCACATATTCTGGATCAACTGTCATAATTTGATGGATTTACCCTCTCTCTGTTTTATTTTTGTTTGGAACAAGAAGTGGTTTTACCATGTTTAAGGTGGTGGGTGGCACAAGTGCTTAGGGTGTTAATGTTAGCCCAACAAAAAATTATTGGTGAAGAATGATTTTCAGAAATTGCTGGCAGTGGGAGATTATTAGATGAAAAGAAGTTTCTTTCCTTAGAGGAGTTGGTAGCAGTTCATCTCATTAAACAACTAATCTTCATGCTTACCACTGTCTTATACATATTTTCATTTCTTAATTCAAATTTCTGCACGTTTTTCTCTAGCCCTCTTGCCACCACTCTACCTATATAGTATAATAAATGATAAATTTATAAACTTTTTAATAGCTACCTTAAAAATTATATTAGCAGTGATTTTTAATTGATGGATAATATAAAAAAATTATACTAATAACACATAGTGATTAAACTTAAATAAATAAATAATATGTATTGAATTTAGTTTTTTTTTTTTTTTTTCATTGTGAAGTCAAGGGTGAAAACCCCAAGCACAGAACTAGAAGAATGTAGTGCAGTTGTTGACGTATTTTGTAAACACAAATTGATAGTTGGTTAGGTTTATAAACGTAAGTCCTTTTTAAAGAAAAATGTAATGTAATGTATGACATAATGCTTTGTGTAATAATCACCCAAAAAAAGTTTCATGTATGTGTACATAAGCGTGAATATTCTTCTCAAATTATAATGCATGTTTACATAATACTCGTTGGATTATTGTGATGTCGTGACGTAATTTCTTAAGAAATATTTTTATACTCTTAATTAACTATTGATATCCTACTAGTTAGCAAGCTTAACAACATTAAATTCCGATTTTACATTTAGCAACAATAAAAAAAAAATTTCGCCCCTCGGTTCAACTTATACATTTTAGGGGTGTCTTTATTTCACTTTTACAAATTGAGCAAATGCTCAAATGCACTATTACAAGTATTATATAAGAAAAATTGATATTATTTTTTTTTCCAGTTCGATCTTTTAAACACTTTTTTTTAACATTGTGGTCATTTATTTTTATATTTTTTTTCACTTTAAATTTGATTAATTGACATAATCCATACAATATTACAAATATTTACGAGACATGATTTTTGTTGGACAAACAATATTTTAATATAGACAAAAATCAAATATGTACACTAGATCAACTTCTTATGTCACAGGACAAGTTTTACAATTGTTAGACAAAGATGCTTGATAATAATAACATGGATTATTATAATGCTAAAAAAAATAAGGGGTACTTATAAAAATTTCAAGAAATCATAGACTTATCAATATAATTTACTTTAATATTAGTGTTAATAAAAAACTCAAATGATAATAATTACCATGATTAAGATATATATCAATACATCAATATGTTCTTGAATTTTTATTTTATTTTAAAAATAAGTCTCGAAACTATAAAAATTGTTATTTAATTCCTTTTTTTTTTAATGTTTATAATTACCGCACCCCCAATATAGCATTATCATCTATTCTAATAAGACATAGTGTTTCATCTGTTAAACGCCTTCATGATATATAAAAGCTTTCCTTAAAAATTATAGTTTTTGTTTGTTGTAACTAAAATTTTTAATAAACCTGATTAGGACCTGATTTGTCCTTCGATCAAACAAAGAATTCAAAACCACATCAATTTCACAATGTTTAATAATATAAATGTGTCGGTAGAAATGAATTTAGCAAATAGTGCTTCATCTTTCATCAAAGTACTCTTCCTTCATATAAAAATTATTCTCAAAATCATGTCATTAAACACGTGTTGTCCTGCTTTCCTCTTTTAAATATTTTTTTTATAACTATTTAATGTAACAAAAAAAAAAGAATTGTTTAAAGGACTTTTTAAAAAACTTTTTTAGTTAAAAAAAATCCTGCGAATTTTAAAAGACTTTGCAGGATTTTCATGACTTTTAAGATTTTGTAGGATTTTACAAGACTTAAAATCAGGATTTTAATGGATTCTGCAAGACTTTTAAATAAGAATTTTAATGGATTCTGTGAGATTTTGTGGAGTTTTGGCATTTGATAAGATTTAAAAAAAAATTCATACATTCAAATTTAAAAAGAGTCAAAAACAAAAATAATAAAAAAATAATAGTCTAGATAAATAATAATAATAATTCTCCATAATATCTTATCCTCTTTTTATATAAAGGAACAAATTCAACTACATAGAATAAAATAAAGCAAGTCAATTAAAGAGAACGAACAGAAAAATAGAGCAAGTCAATGACACTATCATTTACATATCAGAGTTTCACAAAATAGGGGAATGGGATGAGAACAGTACTACAATATTATATATGAGCAATGAACAATAGTGTAGTATTATTAGTAGAGAAAAAATGGAGAAGACAGGAGCATAGAAAAAAAAAAGATAAAAAAACTCAATTGAAAATTCTTGAAACACTTGAAAAATCACTTCAAACAATCCTTCAAAATCCGATGGGTTTGGATGGAATTGTTTTATGAATCTGGTATTTATAGATAATACTAGAAAGTCCTTCAAAATCTCTCACACACAACAATCCTTTAAAATCCTTATATTTTGAATACCAATAGATTGTTTTTAAGTTGTAAAAAATCTCAAATGAATACCAGTGAATTTTAATGGGCTCTTTAAAAAATCTTGAAAATCCAGATTGAATACCACTGAATTGTTTTTAAGTGACATAAAATCCTGATTGAATACTAATGGACTTTTTTACTCAAAAAAAAGTCTTTTAAAATCTTACGAAATTCTAAACCAATACACCCCCTAAGAAATATGGAGAACAAAGAAAATAATAAGAAAAAAAATCATGTTATGAACATATAATCATCATTTAAATTTAATGTAAAAAGTTACATGGTAATTCTAAAAGTTACCATTAATATAAAAAGGATTTATTATAAAGACATAAATGCATAATAGGCCTTTGTTGATATAATTATGGGGATGAAATTCAAAAATTTATTCCCGATAGATAAATTTAGTATAAACCACAATAATTTATAGTATACAAAATCTTATATTAATTCTTAAAATTGGTTATATTAGTTCTCGTATGACACCAAAAATCCTTTAAAAAGATCAATAATATAATTAATGTTTGTGATTTGTTGAAATTAATTTTAGCGATCAATTCTTTATTTATATCATGATTTTGATAGAGAAATTTTAGTTGTTATATTAATTGTTATTTATATAAATATAATAGCATTCTTAGAATAATAGGTTCATTTAAAGATATATCATGTGATTGATTATGAGATTCTTTGAATAAAAAATATTATTCTTAAATTATCCATAGTCAAATATTATTTTTAACTAAAACGATAATAACACATTGAAGTTATTATATAAGTTGATTATGATGACCATATCTCTTAAGTATGGAAATATTAAGTTATACATATAAGTATAAATATTGAGAGTAAATATTTATAGTGGATTGACCAATTATGAGAAGATTTTATAATACATTATGTGAGTGTCATAACTCAAACATTTCTCATGACAATCATAATAGAGTAGTCATTTGACCTGAAGTCGCTACGATTTCTACATGTAGATATTTTAGGCTTTGATGCTATCAAACATTTCTATAACAATATGACTAAAAAGATAATTAATTGATTATGTAATAAATCATGTGAGGAATGTGAGTGATGTAGAAATGATTCATCTCTCCTGCATTACAGGAGTTGTGTCTTGGGTCTCTTGATAGAGTGAGATGTGAATTATGTGTAACCATACAAGAATGAGTTAGTATTGGACGATATTGAGTCTATTCATGATTAAATGTCTATTTGGATATTGAGAAACATATTATTGAACTTAACGAAATGACACTCTTATATCTTGTGTTCAAGCAAGACATGAATGAAGGAATAAATTACCCTACAATGATTGTGATCGTAGAAGGTTAAAATTGGATTACCAATTTATTCTCTTTAATTGGATGACAATGACGCAATAGTAGATACCAATCTTTGTTTATAATGTTTGATATATTGATATTTAAATATTGCTGTCAATTAAAGGATACCTATGAGGTCACACACATAGGTTAAATGTTTGGAGAAAAGTCATTAAATTAAGTAATATTTAATTTAAGATCAATTAATTAAATATGTTTCAATTAATTGACAACACATTTAATTAAATATAACTTAATTAAATGAACAAGATATTAAAGTTGTATTGGACAAATCCAATTAAGAAGTAAATAAGGTCAACAACAATCTATTAATAGGTAGGTTGACCTAGAGAGAGTCTCACAAGATTTTGTATCATCTCATAAGATCCTAATTTTATCCACATGTGTCTAACACGAAAGCTCTACTTTTATGTTTCTTGTGTGGACTAAGTAGAGACATCATATTCTTTTGTGTGTGATGATCTAAAAGAAGGTATTCATCCTTCAAACCACACAGAAGATTTTTTAGAATAATATAAAGCGCATTATAAAAGTAAAACCTTGAAACCATAACATGGTTCTTGGCAATATGATCTATGGGTAGGGATTGTTCCGATTATGAGATTCCTTTTACTAAAAAAATTGATTATAAAATATCCATGAAACTCCAACAAAATTAAGGTGAGATTTTTATATTCTTAAGGATTGGTATGCTTGCCATTGAAATTTTGGGGACGAAATACAGTGTTTACTCAAATTAAATGGTAGTCTGTACATGGTAGAGCCTAGCTAGCATACATCCATCTAAGTAGTACAAGTTGGTGCATTTCTTCCCATTATGGGTTTGACATTCTTACATTTTGCAATTGCAGTAATTCCATTAAATCTTAGATCTATGTCTCCAAGTTCCACAGTCTCACATGGAACATCACTACTACAAATAAGAGCTACTCCTTCTTGAGTTGCAGAAGTTCCTCTAATGTTTTTGAAGGAAACTTTGCTTATCTTTATTTTTGATGGACTCTGCCATGGAAACCAACAATCACGAAAGTTAGAAGTAAATCAACAATATTTTTTTCAAAGTCATACATTTATGTGCATATTTATAATAGTCAATATTATATTTAAGTAAAATTGATCTTTGACTATTTATTGATAACTTTGTGTTAGATACCTGTTTTGAGCATTGATTCCATGGACAATACTCTTGATCTATAATTACAGGGTTGGTGACATTAATCATCGTGATATCTTCAAAATGCAAATCAGTCGCAAAAGAAGTTATTGGGGTACCAGGCCAAGTCTTGATCCTTAAACCATTATTTGTGTTCTTCAGTGTGCAATTCTTGACAGCAAAATCCTCTACAGGCTCTTCATTTGAATATTTTCCTAAGCTTCCAACACTAATACCATGTCCAGGTCCACATGTTACATTCATGATAGTGACTTCTTTGCTTCCATCACCCAGAGATACGCAATCATCCCCAGTACCAATTTCTGAGTTAGTAATCTTCACTTGAATTGATCTCCCAATGTGAATTCCATCAGTATTAGGACTATATGCAGGTGCACTAATTTTAAAGTTTGTAAATGTAATGTTCTTGCAGCCAAAAACATTCACATGAAAATATTTGCTGTCCTTGGAAGTTATGTCCCGAATCACTGAATTATTAACAAAACCAAAGCCAAAATTCTGTGGAAAATATTGTCAAAAGTACACAATTTGTTTATTATTTGGCGAAAATGCATTAACATATACTAATTGCAACACATATTAAGAAAAATACTTTATTATATTTACCATAGCGAGCTTTCTGCAATTCATCATATTTGATGCACAATTATTTTGTTCCCAAGCCATTTTGCCTCGACCATGAAAAGTTCCCTTACCAGATAAGGTTAAGAAATTAATATATCCAAATCTAATCCATTGATCTTGTCCATTGAGATGAAATGGGTTTTTTGGAGCTATAAGTATCCCATTAACTCGAATCTCAATAGGAGCCATGCAAGGTCCATTAAAATCTATTTGGTTCAACTTGTATTTACCACTAGGAACCAAAATTTTGCTTGGAGTCATTGAGGCACATGCATCCTTCCAAGCACTTTGTAAAGCCTTAAGAAAACGTCAAACAAGAAATTAGGAAAAATCAAGACACTATATCCAACTTATAACTCTTATTTTTTACATTTTACATAGACATTTTTTCTCTCAATAATATGATCTTACCTTAGTTATATCTCCATTAGGTGTTGCACCATATTTTCTTATATCGAAAAGGCCGGTTTGAGCTCTGACATTGGAAGCTAGTAATAACAACAAAGCTAATATGTTGATACTTTGTTGAGCATCCATTTTCATCTTCCTTTGCTCTCTCTCTCTATGCCTTCTCTCAATTCTTTAGTGCAAATGTGATTTGTGGAATTTTATGGCACAAACCTATATTTATTGTAGTGGAAACATTGTTAAGGACACTAACAGATCAAACAAATTTTAATCTAATTAATTACGAATATTGTTGTGACAAGTTAGATTTGGGTAACATTTTGAGGACCACACAAAACAATGAAAACAATGACATCTTAGTCCACCCATTGTCTCAATCATAAACTTATCACAAGTAGGAAAAACTGAATAACGCAATTTGGCTGAAATTTTATACTATTATTAACTTTTTGTTTTGTTCTTAATTAACTAAATTAGCACGAGACTCATATTTTTTACGGGTTATTCTTGTTTTTACATAAACTTAAAATATATTTATTTATTACATTTTTTTTATTGTACCGTGTATATAAAAAGATAATGTCATTAGTTTCATATGGGTGAAAAAAATACATTATATCGGTTTACAAAATTAAGGAATCAAGTTAAATATTTTAATAATAAAATAATTAAAATAGATAAAATAAGAGAGAGAAAAATAAATATAGTTTAATTTTAAACGTCAAAGGATTTTTAATTGACTTTGTTTCAATTTTTTTTTTTAAATCTGGGCTTTTAAATGTATCAAAGAAGTTTAAACTTTGGCTAGTGATAGCAAGAGAATAAACCATGTAGGAGTGGGTATGGGTTAAGAAGAAAGAAAAAAAAAATATACGTGCATCACCTATACATGAAATTGGAAATTTAGAAATCTTTAAACAGTAAAAAAAATGAAAAATAAGTATTACATTTGAATACCATGTTAACATAATAGTAAATAAATTTCTATGTGACAATATTCATTCAACATAAACTAAAAGAATTAATTATAACGACATTAGTAAGTGAAAAATTTAAATACAAGATTTTAAAATTATAAAAAAAAGAGTGTTTTTAACTATATAAACTTAATTAGAAAAGTTCTAAAACAAACTATAAAGACTTAATTAATTTTTAAAAAAAAAACTTAGGATTTATATATTAATTTAACCTATTTTAAATTACAAGATGGTCAAGTTACTAAATTTCAATGAAATTTTGTTTCCGGACAAATCTATAAATTTGGAGCAAGCTTTTTATGCTCACGTTAGGCCATTTAATTTTATTTATTTTTAACTCGTAGTAGACCAATAACTCAAAATAATACAAGTGTGAAGTGAAAATGATTTCATTAAAGTTTATTCTGACATACGACTAAACAAGCTTATACCAAATAATAAGTTTAGGGTGCAATAGGTATTTGTACACAAGCTAATAAACTATTAAACAAATAGGGTTAAGGTGCAAGTAGTTAGCACCTACTTATTGCTTAATAATCATCAAAGTATCATTCTCTCTCCTATTTTATGAATAAAAAAAATTTATCTATCAAAGTTATTTTATTTTATTTTTTTAACAACAATGTTATGTCAAAGTTAATATGCTACATTAATTAATATACCGTATGGTGCCGACTAGGACGAGCAATCCGAACGCTTTGTGTACCCGAACACGCCGAGTACCCGACACCGCCGACCCCACACGAACGTACGGAACTTATCGGTACGGTCGGCCAAGGTCAACGTCATTACCGGCTTAATTACAAGTAAATTAATTAGCATAAACTTCGGATCAGTCCCCTAATTTTCCGGGGCCCAACCCATAATCACGGCCCAACACGAACACCTATAAATAGAACTCCTGAGAGGTACGTAACTACTTTTGACCTACCGCATTTATTACGCCGAGTACTTACTTGAGCGTTGGAGTGTCTTTGCAGGCACCCCCCCTTTTCGCTTCGGACCACCCAGATTGAACGAGAAGACCGAGACCCAAGACCAGACCGAGACCCAAGACCAGACCTACTACAACAAGGATAATTGGAGTGTGTATCCTAACACAGGAACAATTAACAATAAATTTATGTAATTAAAAAAGTGAAGATTGTAATGACTATCAAATTACCATAGCTATTTACAACTAAAAAATATAATACAATTATTTAAGATTATAATTTCTAAAAAATACATGTAATAATATATATGTATAAGGATAAAATCAATTACACGAGTAAATGTTTCTCAACAAAATTACAACATATCATATATATATATAATAATTCATGTCGATTAAGTAACACTACAAAAAATCTACAAAAGTAACACCTAATTATACCACCATCCAACATGACTCAACCTTTGCCTTCGGCTTATCATTGTCTTACTAATATATAAATGTAATTATGGTAGTCCAACTATAAGGAAACATGCAAAAGTAAACTAGTATTCAAAAGAATAATCACTTGATAAGTATAGAAGTAAAAACAACTATGATACCAACATCATCATGTAAACCACACAACACAACATTTCATGGCTTACAACTTTAGCAACACAGCAACACCACCTCAACATGACATTCAACAACCTCTAAAAAGCAAACAACTTAGCCACATAGCAACAATTTCAACTTACACCACAACAATATAACTCATCAACAATTCAATATAGCATATGAATAACACTACAATCAATCATCATATGCATTACACCACAACTACATGTGCCATCACGAATTCAAATAAGAGATTTCTTACAACAAAGGTGAGTAATCTAAATGGCTTAACCATACTAAACCAACAACACAATTTTTTTACATTTGCTAGATCAATAACCAATTTGAATAAAAATCCACAATAACGTGATTTCTCGAATTTCGTCACTTAAATTAGGAAAGTCTAATATTTCTGTTAGGATAGAACAACTTGGATATGAGTCCACCACGCCGTTAGCATGCATAATTAAGTCTTCTATGAGATTAGTCCGCCGATTACACTTTGAATATTACGTCCTTCTAATACTTAATTGGGAATTTTGGCCCTCAATGTTGTACCTAACTCAATTTGGTCACTTTGTACATGTATGATTTGACATAGCCCTCATACAGATCAACATTAATCACTTTATAATTAGTATAACTTAATCTGACCCATATACTATGATCACGTATAAATGATATGACTTGACATTGTTCCCATACAACATCAATTAAGATCATAGGGAAACTCAACTATCCACTTCAAGAGTCGACTACTTAAGAAGGGTTTTTAACAACTAAACTCGTTGAGCACAACAATATCCTCATAATTGGATATCCAACTTTTTAAAACATTATCTCATATAGTCCTAAGTCAATCACCTCAACATAACTGAATGCCTTAAGTATTCTCAACAACATTGCCTCAACATTTCAATAATTTAATCATCAATATACATTATCCTGATCTACGTATAAATAACTAACAACATATATCAACATACAACATATGAGATATACAACTACTAGTACAAGTGCAACATCTTATCAACCAAACAACATTTTTCATAAGGCAACCCTAAGTCTGGCACCATTCTCCCCACGTCTAACGTCATTAAGATAAAGAGCTCTTGGGCTTACTCATGGTCGATGTCACTCAACCTGCGCCTGACATGAATAAGGAAGAGAGTCTTTTTGGCAATCACCTCTGGCAAGGCTAAACCCCACGTCTGACTCCATTTTAGGCAAAAAGTCTCAATCCGACTCACGCCTGATGTCACTCCATTAGTGTTAGGCATCATTCAAGCAAAGAGCTTCTGCCTTGATCATACTGGACACCACTCAATTAGGGCCCAATGTCACCAAGTCAGAGAACTCCAAGTACATCCACGCCTAGCCCCATTCAACCCATGCCCAATTATAGGTTACAAAGTGGAGCAACCCACCTAAAGCGATGGGGCATGTTAACCCACCAAAGAAGCGGGGTGGGGTGGGTTAGTCCACTAAAGGAAATGAGTTGAAAAATGCAATTAGCGATGGGTTGGCAGGTTAACCCACTTTAGTGAGTTGGTAGGTTAAAAATAGTGGATTGATAAGTTGACTCATCTTCAACCCACCCAATTTTTTTTCCAGATTTTTTTTATAGATTTCTGATTACATGCTTAGAAAATTATGTATACAAATCCTCTCATGCACATATTGTGTCTAGCTCCTTTGTAGCACAATTGTTGAGTGTTGGATTAGCTTAACGGTTGAGATTAAAAAGCTCTCAAAATAGTTTTTTTTAAGACAATTTACAAGTATGGAATGACTTCTTTCTTTATCTCTACTCTCTAAATCTCTACACTCAGTGCAATGTTAGTATTTAATAGTCTTCTTTTAGTGTCATAGTTACCTTAAACTAAATATTTTGTTTTTGGAATGTAAACAAAATAGGTTGTGTTAAACAAATAGAATATAAACTTAAATATGTTTTTATCTCTTAAATTTAAGGTCTTTTTAAAAAAAATTAAATTTAAAATTAATTTTTTTAGTCTCTATAATTTTTAAAAAAATTGTTTTACTCTCTTAGATCACAAATAATATATCTGAAAGTGACAAAATTAATTAGATCTAATGTAATATTTTCACTAACAAAATACTAATAAGCAAATTTTATGTGTTAGTAGTTGACAAATTTTTTAATAAAATTTAAGCATAAAAACTTAAAATAACAAATTACGATAGTTAATATGTGATCCCAAAAATGGTCCAAGCAATTTTATATGCTAAAAGAGATGTAATGAAAAAAGACATTATTGATAAATTTACATCTCATGAAAACCATAACAGTAAAAAATGTAAATTTTCAGACTCCCACTAACCCAATACATCAAAAAAACTTAACCACACCCATATGAGTTACATGTTTTTGAAAAACTCCAATAGCTAAGTCTTTAGTCAATGGATCTGCTAACATATTTTTTTGTACCAATATGCTCAATTCGAGTATGAAAATCCAAAACCTTCTCTCTAACAAATAGAAATTTTATATCAAAATGCTTTGAGCGAGTAGAACTTCTATTGTTTTGAGAGAAATGTACAGCAGCAATATTGTCACAATATATCACAAGTGGCCTAGAAATACTTTCAACAAT